AGGAAATTACACCTAAACCTGAAATTAGATTATCAATTTCATAAATCCAAAATCAAGTTTCATATTGCATAAATCAGGTTTGAATTATTAAATTAAAAACATTTATTTTTATTTTTATATGTATATACAATATAAATTAATTTATATACAATCCCCACCATATCTAACCCAACCAACCCTAAAATCATTTGAACTCATCCCCTATCCACTCTCATCTCTTCTCCTGTCTCTCAGCCGTCGCCACAACGTCTTTTCTTCTTCTCGCCATCTCCTTCTCTCGTCTTCACTCTCCCTCTGTCTCTTTTCTGTCTGGACTTATCACCGGCCGACGTTGCTGTGAACGGCAACATCGCGACACTGCTGTCCGTTGACGCTACCATTCGCAGCAGCATCTGTGTCTTTAAAAAAAAATTGTGAGTGGTGCGGTGTTGCGATGGTTGCGGTGTTGTGATGGTTGGGTGTGCGCGTGTGCCAATTGCAATGGTCGGGTGTACATGTGAGGGTGCGGCGATGGTTGAGGGTGGGTATGGTTGCGGCGGCGGTGGAGGTGCAGATCTATTTTTTGGTGGAGGTGTCAGTGCGATTGCGTACGTAACGGGTGTGTCTGGACGCTACCGTTCGATGCAGTCCATCAATTGGGAGTGGACACTAACGACGGTGTCAGTGCGGCGGCGACAGTGGTTATTTCTGTGCAGTGGTCGCGATTTGAACGACTGCTGTGGAGGTGGAGATGCGGTGGGATCGGGATTCGTTGTGCGTCCATGTTGGCGGCGATGGATATGCTGTGCGTGTGTGTTGGTAGTGCGTGTGGCGATGGTGGTTTTGGGGTGGTGATAGTGGTGCTGGGAAGGTGTGGTGTTCGATTTGAGATGTTGATGTTAGTATTGGGCGGAGACGGTAGTGGTGCCACTGATGGAGGCAGTAGCGAAGTGGTGGTCACAAATGATTTGGTTGATTATGACCAATAATTTGGTTGTTGTGTGACCAATGAACAATACGTGACCAATGAATTAGATAAACTGTGATCAATACATGTTGTGTGACTTAAAATATTTAAATTGTGACCAATAATTTGATAAATTGTGACCTAAATATAATCTATGTTCAATTAATGTGATGTTTGTGACTGTTATTAAATATTGTGACTTACAAATTTTGTGATATGTGATCGAAGATAAAAGATCGGAGGAGCGNTTGTGACCATAAAATAAGTAGTGTCCTATAAATTTTGTAATTTATGACCGATGAACAAATTGTGACCTATGAAAATTTTGAATTGTGACATAAATTTTTTTGAATTGTGACAAAATTGCATAGAAATGTGACCTTAATATATTTGTCGGAATTGGAACACTTGCAAGAATTAGAACAGTCGTCGGAATAAAGTGGTGGCGGAATGGTCATTGGAATAGTCGCTGGAATCGAAGCGATCACCAAAATAGTCGTCGGAAAAGAGCAGTGAACGGAACGGTAGCCGGAATAGTCCTCAGAGTGGTAGGGGTGGTGGAGGGGGTGGGGTTATTTATGTTATATTAGAATTAAATATTTAATAATAAGTTGATTTAATAATCCATTATTTCATAAATAAAAATTTTAAAATTCTGATTTTTGAAATTTAAAACTTGTTTTTGTATTTTTGAAATGGTGTAAAGTAAATGCCTGAGAAATATATTGTTCCCTACATAGTAGAGGAGGTTGGTGGAGGCCCATTACTTCTAAAATTCGATAAAATAAATAAAATAAAATTATATTCTATTATTATATTTTGTGTTTGAAATTTTTTCCCGTAGTTAAATTAGGTCCCGATTGATTTAGTATTTCGCTAGATTGCACATATGTTGCCTCTCCTTCTTCACTTAGGCCATGTTTGATAGTCATTATTTTGCTTAGAACTAGGAAATTTTTTTCATTTTCCATGCAAAGTATGTGTTTGATGGAACAAATTTAGCCAAGAAAATAATTTCCCCCCATCCCCCCACGCGCCTTCTTTGCTCAATATTGATTCCAAGTTCTGGGAAAAAAACAAATTTTTTTTTGTTTTAACTTTTTGACAATGTCAATAAATTTCATAACCAAGTATAAAAAAAAATTTCACTTTAATGCACAATTTCCATATAAAACGAAAGCAAACGAACACTAAACTTTGATAAAAAAATAGTTTTCGCGCAAATTTTTTTTTTTTTT